AACCATTCTTTGCCTAATTTGGGATGACTATTCAGCTTAAGTGAATTTAAAAAAGGTGCACAAGTAAAAATACAGCAGGACCAAATTATTCCACTTCCCTTAAGGTTATTATCTAGAAGGCTGAAACCTGGACACAGTACTCGAGTGTTTCAACAAGATAATGATCCCAAATACACACCAGAGCTGTTTTTGGATGGGAGAAAATGGGTTAAGATCTAGAATGGACTTCCCAAAGCCATGATTGCAAACCAACAGTTGTGGACTTTGCTTCCTAATTGGGTGAACGCCAGGAAACCAATCAACTGATCTCTTCCAACTTTACCAAGAAGAGTGGTGAAATATACAGATTCATGCCAAAAGCTTGCTGATGGCTACAAAATGTTAGTGGTCACAGTGCAACTTTCTATGGTATAACTTAATCAAATATTAATGGAGATGAACATGCTGTATGTATATTTTTGTAACAAGGAGTTAGAAGTTTACCTACATTTCTGGTATATTAATGACACACACACAAGGATGTTAACACTCGCTTTAACATTCTGGCAATCACTATATTTAGCTATAGCTTCCTTTAATAAAACATAATGTTTTTAATAGTGTAGTTTGGCTGTCCACACTATCAAAACAGAATCTACTTTCCATCCCTCTGGACTTTAGTCTCTCACTGCTGCTGGTTTATGACTGAGGGCCATTGAAATGAGACAGTGAGTTTAAACAATCTGTTTCTGTAGCTGAGTTAGAGTAAGTCCTCTATAATTACATCTGCCTGAATTCAAAGTCAGACCACACAACCTGCCTCTGTATCTATAATTGTGTTAGGTATTTCAGTGTCTTGTTTCACCCACACATTAAACCACAACCTTTAAATACACACACAGGTCAGAGGGAAAGAAGACTCATGCAAAACTAGACAATCTTTTACAGATAAACAAATTACAGCTTCTACAAAAACCTGCCAAAGCAACAGTTGTACATCAGTACAAATATTCAAAACATTTAAATAAATTACAAATCTGGGGATGATATGCAAATCTTTGGACAGCAAATTTAAAGTTTTGTTGCAGTGATTTCAGAGTTTGACTGCTGGTTATGGGAACCAGTGACCCCCGCGACCCTAAAAGGAGAAGCAGATAAACGTGGACGGATGGATTGTGGAGTTTCACGATAAAACATAAACACACCGATGAAAAGTTGTTCAGCATTTTAAGCGGAATTGCTAGTTTTGTAATGTTTTAAAAAAAAAAGCAGAAGTGTTCACTAAAATCATGAACATCAAATAAAGTTACTTTTATAAAAGGACTAAGATCTTAGAGTTTAAATCTCTTGCTTGTGACTTGTCATTCACAGAAAAAGGCCAGGTGATGCAACACGGTTTCCACATTTGAATAACTGACAAATAAACTCACACATACGCGCGCGCGCACGCGCGCGCACACACACACAGGTTTGTTTTGCTATCTTTATGGGGCCTTTGCATTGACTTCCATTCATTTTTCATTCATTTCTATAGCCTAACCATGACCTTTATCCATAACCTAACCATTACCAGTACATACCTAACCCTAAACCTAACACATCCTCAATTCACACCTTAGTCCTAAACCTAGCCCCTAACCCACCAACGGGACTTCTTCTTATGGGGCCCGGGCTTTGGGCCCCATAAGGAGCAGTTGGTCCTCACAATGCAGTATAAGTTGGAAAAATGGGCCTCACAAAGTAGCATAAACAAGGACACACACACACACACTCTTGTATTTAAACCATTGTGGGTCAGCCTCACCACAGCATTCTTCTCGTGAGTCTACGTCTGAATCTGGGCCAAACTATCGGCAATAACATGTCGCTTTGTCAACAAAACAAAATAAATGTCATTTCTCACCAGAAACTTGACACAAGTTTGGAGTCGATATGTAACTGTTTAACAGTAAACAAACACAATTGATTTTACTTCCACTGATTGTGGTGGTGGCTCTGATTGCGTCTCTGGCACCATTCGAATGGGAGTTAACAAATAACCAATAACGAATCTAGAGTTTAACTGAGTGAGGGTAAAATGTATTTTCACACATAATGGTCTGGACTTGTGTTAGCAGTTGCCAATCCCACAAGCAGTTTTTTTATTTTACAGAAGAAAATTATCAGCTGGAGTCTGGATTTATAATGTGATGCACTTTGTCTCTTTTGCATTAATGGCTCTTAACCATCTGTAATGACTGATTTTGTGTTGATAATAAACATACACTCAGTTTACTCCAAGAAAAGCTAAATAAAAAGTAAATTCAACAAAAAATAAAAAAAATCTGTGAAGACGAAACTCAGCCAGCGCATGCACCAAACTTTTACTCACACCCTAAAACCTCTAAAAAGATTCCAGGACCATTTTCCCACCAGTTATTGGAGAAGACAAACTGTCACACAGCGTGGCGGTGTTAAATTAGATGCCTGAAAGATTAACAGTATCATCGCATCTCAACAGCTGCAATGGGTGATGTAGGAGAATTACAGCAAAAAAAAAAAAACTTTTAAAAACATTTTTAAACAAAGATCACACTCTTATCATCCGTCTGAAGCGCTGACCTGCTCTAACCTCCTGAACTGGACAAGTTAAGTTTTATATAATAACTCCAGTGCCAGGGCTCAACCCCTTCACTCCATCTGAGCTTCATCAAAGTCCGCTGCAGACAGGAAGGAGCGAGTCTGAGTCGAGGACTCTTCTTTGATGACACGTCACTGTATCACATCAATTGTATCATATCAATCAAAGCTTGCGGATTTCAAAACAACTAGTTCTTTCTTTTCCTCACTGACCGTAACAGTAAGAGTATATCTTAGATCCTTATATACTGTTTCTTTTCATACTTGTATTTTTGGGTGTAACTGGGACCTTGAGTGCACAATTCCTTTCCACCTCATGTACCACATGTGATGTGAATGACAATAAAGAAAATTGAACTTGAACTTAAAGAAAACAAAAGAACTGATCCTGGACTTAGGAAATACAGAGCTGACCATCAACCCATTGTGATAAATAAACCACCTGGACTTCCTCCTGGTGCAGAGTTTTACCGCCACGAAAAAAAACAACAACTTCCTGTTGGACGTTTGCAGTAAAGTATTATAACATATGGCCGCACTTTTTCACATCAGCTTAGCAAACCTCCGTTTAATCCTCACCTTCATCCACAGAGAAATCCATTTCAATGCAGTAGTAACTCATGCTCAGAACTTTTTTAAAACTTAATCGATGTTGTTTAAAAAAAATAAATAAATCACTTGACTTTTTTATGCTTTCAGTTTGTTTTTACCTGTCTTTGCTGACGACATATGAGCATTTTGCAGTTTTACTGTATTGCTAGTGCCACTAAAGGCATCTTATCTTATGTTGCACAGATGACAGCTTATTCTAAATGAAGGTGCATGCATTCTCACAGGTTCTAGGGGAGTTTTGAAAATGTTAAATCTATTTTAAGATCTCTGCACCGGCTGCTTCTGCAGAACTAACTTCTAAATCTTATTACAAATATAGTTAATAAAGTAGCTTGTACTACCATATTTAAGACATGTTAATTAATTATAAACTAGTCAGATCACTCACGTCTGCATACTTTGGCCACTTCGTACTTTTTTCATATCAGGGGAAGCTGCATGATTGTGCTCCAATGAAATGCAGTGCATTGTTTTATTATAAAAAGATAAAAACTTGCTTTTTGCATAAGCAAATGTAATTTTTATATTGTTTGTGTATTTTGTACTAGCTTTTCTATGACTATACACATGCCCTGAGTGCAATATATATTTTTTGCCATTAACTATTTGGGGTTAACTCTGTTTGTCCGTTAGCAAAATATTTCCTGAATCATAGAACAGACCCTTCAGGAAATATTGATTAGATGTTTCTGCGATCGATTATCTTTTTGGAGTCGCCCCAATTCAAAAAGCCTACTACAGCAAAGTAACTTTGCAAAACACAAATACAGCTATTGCTCTGTCAATTTTACAGATATTGAGATCAAATTTGGTGTGGTAGTAGCTGAAAGTCATTCGCAACAGATAATCTGAGCGTTGATATTGTGATATCGTATATAACATTTAATTTCTAGATTTGACTCGTTTCTCAAGATCTTAAAACTCCGGTGGGCGATATGCATTCCTTAAGGAGATACGTGAAGTTTAATTAACTACTGTTTGAATCACTATTTATTATTCTTGTGCATCTTTAAGCCAATGTTTTTAAAGCGTACTAACATATGTGATGTCTGCATGATGATGAGAGGCTGCTGTAACAAACTCATAACTTAGGAAAAACTAAGTTAAACTAAACTTAAAAAAAGATGGATAACTTATTAATCCTGTACAGGATTAATAAGTTATCCATCTTTTTTTTTACCTATTGTAAAATTCAGTTTGCACTTTAAAATAATATCCCAATACATATTTTCATGAAACCCGAATTTAAAAGGTTTTAACACCATTCAACACATTTTAAAAACTAGAGAAAAGCATAAAACTAAGTATTTTTTTTAAGTATTAGACACTAGTAAAACGCTATAAAAGTAATAATTGTGAAGCCAAAGTAAATAAAATGAAGTTAAGCTGATTTGTACAAGCTGTTTCTCACAGAAACTCCAAGAAGCTGCTCACGGATGGGACAGAAACTTCTTGGAGAGAAGTGGAAAAATAAATAAATAAATTAAAACCCCCCTCCCTCTATTTTACTTTACCGACTGTTTCATGTTTTATCTATGGCCCCACAAAAAAATAACGGCTAACAAATATTTATTTGCATCGTCGTGAGCGAGTACAATAAAAAAAAAATGGGGTTGGAAGAAACTTTTTGGGAAAAGTTGTTACTTTTTGCTGCTAAAGTTATTACTACACTGCGACACACACGGTTTCAAACGGGGGTCTGTAGGCTGGTTTAGACGTACCCTGAACCGATAGACACGGACTACACGAACAATAAAACCTTTTGTGAACGAACTGAGGGGGGAACTTACATGACACAGCAGCAGAAACGGCGACAAAGACCTGATAATCGTCCTTCGACTCTGAGAGGAAAAACCGTTGCACTGCTGATAATATGCACAGAGGAAGCTCCGCCCACCTAACTGCTCCGGTTAGGGGGATGCACGGAGGAAGCTCCGCCCACCTAACCGGGGTGTGGCCAAAGAGGAGAGTTATGGAGAAGGGGGTCTCTGCAGACCAAAAGTGGGCGTTTCTGGCGAATAGGCGTTTATGGGCGGCGAACACTGATTGGCTAACAGTATTTAATAGGCGTTTGTCGGCGGCGAACACTGATTGGCTGTGGGTAACCCTCAAAGTCACGAGTCATTGATGAGGTAACGTTTCTTTGCGATATTTGACAAAGAAATATGGTTTATTGTACTTATAAAGTATGTTATGTTTTCACTTATGCATTTTATTGAAGTACGTTTATTGTAGGTCACGATAGTTTCGACCGTTCTCTCGTTGTTGTCGTAACGCACTGAGGTAAAGTGAGCCTCCACTCGGCTCCTTTTCAAAATAAAAGCTGAAAATAAAAGTTCTTAATACTTGAAAAATAAATATTTAAAAGCTGTGTATAACTGAAAAATATGAAAAAAAAATAAATAAATAAAAGTTGTTATTAGCTGAAAAATAAATAAATAAAAGCTGTTAATTATATCTATGTCTTTCTGCCATGTCAGGGACCACTCTCACTTCAGACTGACTCCAGAAGACCCCAAGATGTTGCCCAACAATGTTGACCAACATCTGATGTTGACTTTCATTACTCAATAATGAGTAATAACTTATTCAATAAAAAGTCTGTAATTTGTCAATAATAGTCAATAATTCATTCAAGAATAGATTATGGGTGTTTGGTATGGCTCAGTGGCTAAAATGGGTTGGATGTTAGAGAAATTACTTAATTTTCAATTACCTGAATGCACAAATTCCTTCATTTATAGTTAAACTTTAGGAAATCAACTTTTTTTTCTTGTGAAAAAAATATCAAAATTAACTTTAAAATCCAATCCAGGATTAAGTAACAACTAGCAACACCCTAACTGTACTATGTTCTGTGTTTCCAACAGATGCTACGATGACTTCTAAAAATGGATGTCCCAATAAACACAATAAAAAAAATTCAATGATGCATCAAATGTTGTCTGAGTATGTTTTAAGGTAATAACAAATGTGAAATCTGGAAAACAAAGAGAATTCCTGAATCTGTCTTGTGTGCTTTGATGTGTACATAAGTTTATTGGAGGTCCTGAAACAACTTTTCTGAGAACACAAAGATTTTTATTTTACCTTTGGCCAAGATGTCAGTTTGAAATCAGGCTGCTTACTGCAAAACCAAGAGGTTTTTTAAGACAGTCTTCATTTGTATTGTTTTGTCGACTAAGCTAAATGTAATTTCTAAAATATGGATAAATCTGATCTCATCATGCAGCATGAGCAACTGGGTACAGGTGTGAGGGCCAAAAGTCTGGTTATGTACTGACTCCTAAATGTGCTGGTTTTCTACTGAAACATGGAGTAGGGTTGACCTTTAAAATGTGAGACAGCTGAGGAAGTTAACCAGTAAACAGAATACCTGCTCCAGGTGCAGAAATCTTACAGAAACTGACAATCACTCATCTGCAGTGACTGCAGGTTGAACAAGAAAATGTGAAGTTAAAGGAAACATCCTTTGTCCCAAGGCCAGTTTAAGTATCATTAATATTTTTCTTTCTTTATGAATCTTTTTGTAACTTTGTTCACATTTTTCAACAACCAAAATGGAATTTGTTTTTTTAATGTTATGGCTAGGTATTAAAAAAAAACCTAACATTTAGCTCTCCCCACTACCCAGTTATGTTGCTCTTATTTTGAAATGTAACCGGAAGTTCTGTGTTAAGAGAGTCGAAAAAAGAAGTTATGGAGACGCTGCGGCAGTATACTGGAGCGATGTCGAACCGAGACGCCACTAATGTCGAACCGGTTAACACCATAGACATAATATGCCTGTGGTTAACACAATCTGCCAATAACGCCTTGTTTTTAGACATCATGTGTCTGTGGTTACGGCATTTTATCGTTCAGCCTTTTTTTTTCTATCGTTCAGCCTTTTTTTTTTCTATCGTCCAATCAGATGTGGCCGTCCAGACACGCCCATTTTTCTATCGTCCAATCAGATGTGGCCGTCCAGACACGCCCATTTTTCTATCGTCCAATCAGATCCGGCCGGCCAGAAACGCCCACTTTCCTATAGTCCAATCAGATATGAGCGCCCAGATACGCCCACTTTCCTATAGTCCAATCAGATATGAGCGCCCAGATACGCCTTCCGAATTTGCCTGCAGAGACCCCTTCTTGGAGTTATGCGGTTTTGGGTGATTTGGCAACAGAGCAGGAAGGGCGCCGTTCCGTTAGACTCCGTGCAAATTTTGATAAGAATAGTGCGAGTTTTTTTTTGTAAAAGCTTGGAACTCTCTTTACGTCATAAATGTAGGTTTGTATTAACTTTGTGGTTAAATTTCGTTTCACACGGTGATGGTTAAAGTGATTCTCAACTGGTGGGGCGTGACCCCAAAATGGGTCGTGGTCCCATTTTCAGTGGGTCGCTGCACTTTTCCAAGGAAAAAAAAAAAAGGTATGTAAATAAATAAGTCTGATTATTATGTCAGCCTTATGATTAATGCTTAAGTCACTGAATATATGTTGTTTGTTAAAAAGGCTAAAGTATGTATGTATGTATGTTTTATTTATTCATTTCATTTCATCCAAACAACAAATATAATACAATTTAAAGAAAAGAAAAAAGATATACAATCACAGAAATAAAATGAAAGGCAGCAGAAGAAGAATGAATTCTTATAATATCTGCCCCTTGTCCCCAAAATATATTCCAAACAAAATTACTATACAAAAGCAAGATGAATTAATAAAAAAAATAAAAAAAACTTAGCTAAAATATAAGATCAACTGTAAACAATTTTTATGAACTCACATTATACTTAATATTAAAAAACAAATTTTTATCAGCTTCTTGAATATGTACATAGTTTTGGCATTTTTAATATCAACCTCCAGATCATTCCACAATCTAATACCCTGAGATCTAGTGGATCGCATCTTCAGACTGGTGCGACACCACGGCTTCACAAACATCTCCATCCCCTTAAGATAATAATTACTTTCTCTTTTAACAAATTTCCCTTGAATGTTCGTAGGTTGTATGTTTTTGTTGGCCCCATACATAAACAGTAAGATATTGTAATCAACCAAGTCATAAAATTTTAATATCTTTAGCTGATGAAACAATATATTTGACGGATGGTTATAATCTTTTCTGGTAATAATTCTTATGGCTCTTTTCTGTAAAATAAAAATTGGATTTGTAATTGTTTTACATGCTTTACCCCAGACTTCAATACAGTAAATTAAATGTGGAACAATAATGGCATTATACAATAGAAACATTGCTTTATCATTGAATAACGCTCTAACTTTGTACATTACTGCAATCGATTTAGCTATTTTAGTTCTTAAGTTTTTTACGTGAGATCTCCATGTTAGTTTTTCATCAATGATGACACCCAGAAATTTCACCTCACACAAAGTCACTGAGGTAACAAAAGCTTTGGTTTTAATTGCAATGCAGCTTATCGAGAATTATTGGAAAAATTGAGCAATTTTGTTGTACCCAAATTCAGTTGTACTCATTCATTCTTTCAACCTTTATTTATACAGCTTGATTGTGCCTCGCAGACTCATTTACAAGAGAGACCGGATTTCTTTAAAGAGTGACGACAACAATAAACAATCACTAGAAAGTTCCTGGAGAAACTTTGATGGGGACTGCCTATTTATTATGAAATTATTCTTATTAATAAATGTTAATGATTATTAATATTAATAATCAATACTCAATAATCATTAGTATATTGATAATGTATTATTGTTAAAATATTAATAATTCATAATCACTATTAATAATATTCACACCAATAATTGGTAGTAATATAAAATATTACTTATTAATATTAATAGTTATTAATATTAAAATAGATCATTTATAATGTGAATAATTTATAATTAATATTAATTATTATTACTACTAGTTAATAATAATAATAATAACAGGCGCCTTCCATGCATTGCATAATGAACTGCCTTCCTTGCATGTTGAACCAAAATGGTTCCATACGTTACTCAGTGGGCAGCACGGTGGCGCAACTGGTAGAGCTGCTGCCTCTCAGCGAGCAGGTCCCTGGTTCAAACCCCGGTCCAGGGGCCTTTCTGGGTTGAGTTTGCATGTTCTCTCCGTGCATGCGTGGGTTTTCTCCGGGTACTCCGGTTTCCTCCCACAGACCAAAAACATGCATGTTAGGCTGATTGGTAACTCTAAATTGTCCCTAGGTGTGAGTGGGAGAGTGAATGGTTGTTTGTCTTGTTTGTCTCTATGTGGCCCTGTGATGGACTTGCGACCCATCCAGGGTGTACCCCGCCTCTCGCACAGTGATTGCTGGACATGGGCACCAGCGACCCCCGTGACCCAAAATGGAATAAGCGGGTAAAGATGATGGATGGATGGACGTTACTCAGTTTCTGTGAAGAGTTTTCTCCTATTCATTTCCTATGGGAAATTTGGCGTCTTTGTTAGCAAAATATGTCACCATGGTAACTGCGAAGGCCAATAAAAGTAATTGCACTCTTCCCGGAGCCGGACCGGTCGTTTTGATATAACTTTTGTGGGGGTCCACATTGCGGTTCGGCCCGCATTAAAGTTGAAAAAGATACGCTTTTCAGGTGTAGAATAAGTGGGCAGTCACCAACTTCCTGGAGTTGGTGAAATATTGTGCCTTTGTTCGCTAATTGCGTCGCCACGGTAACTCGAAATGCCAATAAAAGTAATAGCACACATCACGGGGCCGAGCCAGTCGTTTTGATATAACTTTTGCGGGGGTAGACGCTGTGGTTTGGGCCGCATTAACGGAGATAGAAATGTAGACACACTTCCGATGTGCCTGCCATGCATTTGGACACGATTTGGCCCACCAGTTAAATAGTCCTGATCTACACTATAGAAAACCTGTTTGCATCTAATTTTCTATACAACAGTGATGGCTTGCAGGTAATTTATACCTCAATTTACCAAAATTTAAACTAAACCCACAAAATAAACGTCGCAGACTCTGGACCCTGACTCTGTACATGTACATACCTGTATACTGCTAATAGGCAATTTGACAAAGAAGCTTGTCAAATATTTTATAATTTTTATGCATTTATGATTGCTGTTTTTATCTCTTAAGACTAAATATGTTATATCGGTGGCAATTTTTAAAATGCATTTGATTTCTGTAGCTCTTCCCCAGACCTCTCCTGAACTCAATTTAGGAAGGAATACTCTGATAATAATCAGAAAACTTTTTTCTACAAATTATTAAATTAACAAGCAAATTATATGTTACAAGGAAAGCACCCTAAATGATGCTTACTCAAATGAACCACGCTCACATCAGGCCGGTGAAGATTTATATCCAGCAGTTTTACTTGCAAGATATCAGAATAAGTTCACATCAATTTGTTAAATGTATACACATGAAGCCAGGTCTCTATGATCTGCAAATGCTGTATTGTCCGCTCACTTTTTATATCCTTATCAGCCTGACAAGGTTTCAGTGGGTGTCCTCAAAGTCAGCTGTAGTCTTACATGGCACTCCTGGCCTTCACAGATAGTCCATGAGCATCTCTTCAGGAGAGTTTTGAGAGACAACTTGGTTGTTTAAGGAAAAGATCACTAGTAATAATATATCCGTAACTTCATAACCTATGACCAAAATCCTCTGGCATTACAGTATACTTATTTTGCATCTTGATGAACACCCAAATATATTTTCCATAAAGTGTAAAAAAGTCAGAACTGAGGCGAGAGAGGTTACTTTTTATTCATATGCAATTTTAAAAGTTAGTAGCACAAGATAGATGTGTTTGTTAGTCACAGTGCCATATTAAGGCATTAATGCTGCTGGTAAACATACATTCTATGTTTAAAGGGCACGTTTAATCTGACGTATAAAGCGCATAAAAATAAACTGCGTTCAAGAGCACGGGCAGTACAAAGCACACACAGAGTAAAGATTACTGTGTATTCTGACTGGGAGATTATTATGAGGTTGATATTTTTATATTAAATGAGCAGAGACTACATGTAAATGCATGCATTATGTCATATTCAACAGCTTTTACAAGTACAAAAATGAAAACTCAAATGAGCGGTTAAATAATATTAGACAAAAATACAAAACTGAAGTGGCTTTGTCCTATAAAGAGTCACAGACAGTCGTAATAAAACAGGCAGTTCTCTGAAGGAAGGCAAGTTGACTTTGAATGATGTCAGACTGCCTTAAAAAGATCTTTCTTCTTCTAACGTTTATTTGAATAAAAGTAGCATAATCTGCAATAAACGCAACAGAAAGTACGCAGCACATATAAATAGGAAGTGGCTCAGAAACTCTTCTGTGGAACCATTTTGAGGAGTTGACCAACATCCTGCGACCACTCCCCGAGCCACAAATTACCAAACATTTCTAATGTTCTCACTTTAACTTTAAAAACAAACTGACTTTTGTGCCTCGAATTAGAAAACGATTAAATTCTGACCTTAAAATATCCACATTTAACAGACGGGTTTCTTTTTACATGTAAAAAAAATAATTAAAAAAACCAAGAGAAACAAGCAGAACTGTATTGTTGAGGTTTTGATGGTGCGTCTGTTCTTCTGGCAAACATTAAACCCACATCACTAAGAGGAGAGCTGCCAGTAACACGTGACAATGACTTATAGTCGCACTTGACTGAATGTAAGGAAGGTGTAAGCTGAAACGAGGTAGTCAGAAGCCAAAATTATTCCTTTATCATCTTTAGATATTTTTATCAAGACAACAGGGTTTGCGAAGAAAAAACAATATTCTATATTTGAGGAGCTGTTTTACTGGGATCTGAGGAAAACAGGCAAAACTTCAATGCCTCTAACATTATTATTGACAATTTTACTTATTATAAAGTCACTTATTCTGTTTGCTCCAGCTTGAGATATACTAAAAGTGAGGTTATTTTTTAGGAATACTGATGCACCAGACACATAAAGGCACCAGCTTGTTGGTAAAACAGCAACTTTTTACACAATATATGAGGTATTTATAGAATACTAAGGACATCAAGGTGAATGATTGGTTAGCATCGCTTATAAAACTGGAGAAATAAGTACAAGTTGTTTGCTTATACTTTATTTTTCACTTATAGTGCCATACATGTGTGGACGTTTGGGATAATGTACATGAAACTAACATAGACCCAGTATATAAACTTCAGAAATGAGTAAGTAGATTAATAAATAATGCCCTTTTTAATACTACAAATCCATTCGTAAGGTCTTCGTCTTTAAATTTGAGCGATAAGAACTCGGGCAATCAGGTTAAAAACAAGACTTTCAAAAGATTTTTCAAGTTAAGGGAAAGTGATGATAATCTTAAGAGGGTCTTTTGTTTTTGAAGTAAGAAAAGTAAGAACTAAAGTCAATTACAGATGTGTTTCAGTTCTGCGTGTAAAGCTGTGGAATAAATTTAGTATCTCTATTTTAAGTTTTAGAAATAAATTAAAATGCAAATAAATGAAGAGTTAGTTTATAGTACTAGAAGTTGTGATGATGATAATTATTCAGTAATCAGCATTACATTTCCATATGTTACTAATAATTATATATTGAACACTGATGTACACTGATGGGTATTTTCTTCTTCTTTTGTTCATGTGTGGTTGTTGATTTTGTATATTTCTGTGTTCTGGGAAATCCATGGAGATTGAAAGGGGAGGCATAATAAGCCTATGGCTTCTGCTTATTCCTTTTGGTTCATATAGGATTTGGTTATTTGTTTGAAACTGTTCGACCAATTAAACCATTCATTCATTCAAAACAAACTTGCACAGGGTTTTAATAAACTGCAATATTGTGATAAAAATGGATTAAGTGCCATAAAGGCAATAAAAAAACTCTACAGTATGTTTAACCAGCCTAAAATAATTAATATTGAGTATTATTTGAAGATAAAACCACAGATAAATCAGCTGAACCCAGCTATTGTCTTTACTTTGTCATCAGGATGCACGGAGAAGCACCACAGCTTCTGTAACATGCAGAAAACCCACCAGAAAATTTGTTTTGTTTACCAAAACACTAGTTAGTCGACTATGTCTTCAAACAATGAGGTTGTGGATCATTTAATGTGGAAACATTAGAATGCAAAGCGAAATAAAACGAGACGAGTTTGTATTTAGCCGTGGGTTTGTGGGTCTACAGGATGACGCAGCAGCAGCTGTCCGGGTAGTTCTCGGCGCTGACTTTGTTTTCGTTTCCGTAGACGAAGTAGACGTGCATGCCTTCTTTCCACTTGTAGTTTACTTTAGTAATGGGGATCAGCTCCACAGTCTGCCTCTGGGAGACACAGATGCAGAGGCACGTTAGTGGAAAAAGTGAACTTTATGGGAAATTCTCATGTCTGCTTCTAACATGTTAGCTTAGCATGGACAAAAAGGAGAAGGAAACTTTTAATGGCATTAAACTGACCAACTTCCCTTTTTATCATTCTTTACAAGCATGTCAGTTAAACTTATCTTTTAAAATCCAAGCGGGTTCAGTGGTTGCAGCAAGAGGCACTTAAACAACTTCAGATTTCAATAAAATACTCATTTTTAAAGATAATAAAATACTTCTCCTCTCACAAACCCCCTTTAACATTAACAGACTATTCTTATTCTATGCTATTGCATAAAACTCCTAAAATTTTGATTTATGCCTCAACTGAGATTTCATTTTGTTACTTACGTTAAATAGAACGTACTAACTTTTCACTGTCATTTTTATTCTAAATGACTATTTTCTTCCTGAGCACAGGTAATGTTAAATTTCATATCTAACTGGCCACATCATAGTAAATGTATATGATGTATTTGGTCCCACCCGTCAGTCTAAAATTAAGGAAGAAAATTCGGTCTATATTGCCAAAACTGAATGAATAATTTTAGAAGCTGTCAGCTTTATGTTTTTTTACTTCCCACCTGCTGCAGGATCCTGAAGGTTTGAGCATACTTGGATTGATGCTCTTTAATCAGACGCTCAGAGGCCTCGTAAATGGTAGGGTTTGGGAACCCATACAGCGGGTAGACCTGTGAGGAGACACACACTTAAAACTTAATAAACTGTTATTCCTGTAGCAGCAGACTTTAATCACGCCACTGCTCCTCTAAACTCATCTGAAGAACAATCTGTGCATCACGTGGATTTTATTGAATGCTTTCAAAAAAGAGAGTTCTGGTCTGTGGTATTATCTAGAGGGTTGCCAAAGAAAAAGTAAACAACAAAGTTCAAAAATTTCCCCCATCTTAAAGTCCACTTGGCACACTGTGCTCTTTTGAAATGGCTTTTGGTTTTAAACATTTTATTCTTGAAATGATAATATGACTGCATTAGACTTCGAGGAACTCAGCCACTTGAGTCTTTTAAACAAAATGATCATAAAGCCACAATATAGATTACAGAGTCAAAAGCACAGCATGCTGGGTCATTGTCATTAAAGGCAAAATTATATATACAGTAGTCCCTCGCTACTTCGCAGTTCGTTTTTCACAGACTCGCTCTATCGTGGTTTTTCAAAATAAGATCGGACATGACGCACAACTGGCTGATTGACGGATGAGCCGAACGATCGGCATGGAATTTTTATTTAAAATAAATAATTTAAAATTAGTTAGCCCCTGCTGCACCTGTGTGCAGCCCACAGCTGCAGAGGAAGCTCCCTCCTGCAGCGTGTCAGACCTCCGCTCTGCAGTGGAGAAGTGGGCGTGGCCGAGAGCGCTGCCAGAGTGCCGCCTGAGGCAGAGAGCTGAAATCATGACAATCTGTGCTCTTTTAGAGCGTTTAGAAACATTGTTTAGAATATTGCAAGAGTATGGAAAGCGTTTAAAATGCCTTAATATATATATATATATATATATATATATATATATATTTAAATACTAAAATAAACTACTACTTACTTCTTGTACTACTATTCCTACTTCGTGTTTTTTTTACTTATCATGGGGCTTCAGGGTATGGATCCAGTGATAAACGAGGGACTACTGTAGATATTTTTTGTAATCTAAAAAGCAATTTATTATGAAAAATGCAATTACAACTTTTAAAAGTTTTAAGATCTTAAGATAAAAATTAAAGGACTTCTCAAACTTTAAAAACAATACGATGATATTCAATCATTTTTGAAAGATTTTGATAATTTGTTTAAACTCTATAATATAGATAGTTGTAAGACTTTATGTGATAATAATCTATGTGGTGTGTGTGTTTACCATGTACTGGCTGTTCTTGAACAGCTCCTTGCCGCTCACTGAACCCAGGTCATCAACCTTTAGCCCAGAGTTCTGCTCCACAACATGGTTATCCACATTGGTTTTCCTAAATAAACAGAGACACAAATTATTCACAACATTCATGCAAACTGCTCCACATTTATAATATCCAACCTATGCGCGATGCAAACATGAACAGAACTAGTGCTGTATAAAATTAAATACGTTTTTCACAGATGCTGTAACGAGCATTGCATTCATTAACACAATGAATGCGTGTTTGACTGGAGAATATAATTATAGCGCATCTATTGATGTTGATGTGAAGATTTATATCTTCTGTTTTTGTTTAAGTGTAAGCTCTGGCGCAGAGACAACAGGTGCAGGAAAACAGATGCTTTGACTCCCAAGGGCAGAGAGGCCCCGCCACGAAATATAAAAAGAAGTGGCAACGAGCCAAACATTCATGAAGGTCTGCAAACAAAGAGTCAGAAATCAAGCAAGTGGATTAAGACTGAAATATGTGAATGTTGATGAATGTTGTCTTCTTCATCCTTAATGCTTACAGTTCTGTCTGCTGGTCTGTCATAAAGATGCAAAGTCATTATAAAAGACAATCAATGGCGTCGGTCTATTTTTACTACATATAATAAAAGGTTGTAAAACGCCGATCAGAACTAAATATCTTGATGCGTTTGGAACTTTTTAAAAAGGTCTTATAAACTCTTCTCACTTCCCTGAAATATATTTAAATGCGCTGCAAGTTTTGCATAAAAGCATTCTCAGGAGAATACTGCAAGCTTACCATAAATGTCTCAGTTAACGTCTTTTTTCTTTTAAAAGACCATAAACGTGTATGAAAACCTTCCAAGGCTCTAAAACCGGAACATCCTACAGGAACTTGCATTTTTTTAAGCTAGAAGAACTTTCTATCCGACATCTGATTTCTCCGAACTTGTCTAAGAACCATTAGGCGTTCTCATGATCCATTTAAGCCTTTGCTGGAATCAAAATGAGCATGTGAAAGCCCTGAAGGCTTTTCTTTCAAATAAATTGTTCAGGAATTCTTGCAACAAGCCTGCTCTCGTATTTAAAATAGGCACACCTCCCCTTTACTGTAGCACTGTCGAGGGTATTCTCCTCTGCTGTGTGGTATGCTAACAGCTGAGAACCAGAAGTGTTTTAAAGTCAGGGCCAGAAATCATTAGGTCTACTCTTCTAGACATGGACCGTGTGTTTTTGACATACTGTTAAAGAAAATAACACCTATTGTTAAAGATGCATCACATCCTGGAAATCACCCGTTTGCTCGTTAACCAACTTGAAAATGCTGCAGAGCCACTGGAGCTGGGACAATCAGGCTGAGAAACTTCTTCTGCCTTAGAGCTTCACACATTTCATTTGCCACTTTATTACTTATTATTTCGCTACTTTGTCATGCATTAATTTGCACATGCATATATCCTGCCATCAGTGGTGGGATGTAACTAAGTACACTTTCATGTATCTGTATTTTACTTAAGTAGAATTAAATGCAGGTACTTTCAACTTTTATTCCACTACACTTTACATAAAGTATCTGTACTTTCTACTACGCTACATTTCTATAATGTGTTGCATTACACGTTATATTCACGTTGCGTTTTTTTTATTTGTTCGTTAGTTTGAAAGTAACCAATGGCGAGAGGGGAGTTGGTCCATTGATCCACTGCAACGTGGGCAGGTAACGTTAAACCCGCCTTCAAGAAGAGCTGGGCCAGTGACGTATATTCTAGTATATAGTAGTCCCTCGTTTATCGCGGGGGATCTATCCCCTAAAGTAGGAATAGTAGTACAAGTAGTAGTTTATTTTATTATTTATATAGATATATATATTAAGGCATTTTAAACCCTTCCCACACTCTTGAAATATTCTAAACAATGTTTCTAAACGCTCTAAAAGAGCACAGAATGTCTTAATTTCAGCTCCCTGCCTCCTCTGCTCTTTGCCACCTGCAAGCGCTCTTGGCCACGCCCACTTCTCCGCTCTGCACGCTGAACAGCTGATCAGCTGTTCAGCTGCAGCAGTAAGGGCTGCACAAACTGCAGGAGGAAGCTCTGCTGCTTTGGGCGGCACAAATATGCAGCAGGTGCTGAATAATTTAAAATAATTTAAATAAAAATTTCATGCCGACTATGCGGCTCATCCAGCAATCAGCCAATTGTGTGTCATGTCCAATCTTATTTTGAAAAACCGCGATGGAGCGAATCCGAGATAAACTAACCACGAAGTAGGGTGGGACTACTTTACGTCATTGAGCTGGGCGCACCCGCAGCACCACTAACACACCCAAAATGGATTCCACCACGGAGAGTCAGCCAGAAGATACACACCACCCATGGCCTTATTGAAAGACTATTGAAAGACTATTGAAAGACTATTGAAAGATTATTGAAAGATTATTGAAAGACTGTTCAGTACAGCAGGACAGATTCTCTCTCCAAAAGAGCCGGACTGGACTCAAAAAAACTTTGAAAACCAACTTCTTCTGAAGAAAATTTTTGTAGCAGTATTAAAATGTGTCAGTTCATGATGTTAGGAGACAAGAGATGTCTCCAAATGTCTTGACACTCTGGTCCAAGTTTTGAAAATGTTGTCAGGAATTTAAAATATTGTTCAGTATTGACCCATTACAAGGTTGACGACTGTATTTTAACTAGAGTTGATGACAAACTGGAGTTGAAATGATCAGATATTCCTTTGTTCGGTCTAATGCTCCTTTTGTTCAGGCAGACAACTTTTACTTAAATGTGTTTACTGCAGTTAAAATGACACATTGGTTTTACTTTGTGTTAAATAAAAACTTTCAAACGTAGAATCGTTCCTCTTTCTTATTTTGATTAATGACATTTAACTCATGTCATCCCTGAAATCCTGACGCACAGAATCACAAGTCCAAGTGTGAACTGTGTCACAGAGTAAACACGATAAAAACATGAATTATCTGCAGCATTGTTCATTAAAATGACAACACTATTAATGTATTACAGAAAATACACATACGGTAGTACATTTAATGATACTGTAGACCATTGCATTAGGTATTACATTCAGCAAGCACTTTTAAAGTATTTTTAAAAGCAAATACTTTTACTCAAGTAAAAATGTTAATGTGGTACTTCTACTTTTACTAGAGTACATTGTCTGTTTATTTGTACTTTTACTTAAGTACAGTGTTTGAGTACTTTCTCTACCACTGCTGCAGAGCCATTGGAGCTGGGGCAATAAGGCTGAGAAACTTCTTCTACCTTAGAGCTGTACTTTATGTCTTCACACCCTTTGATTTGCCACTTTATTATTATTTCGTTACTTTGTCATGCATTAATTTGTACATGTACTATATACATCTAGCCATACTGTTCCTACAGACATATTAAGCTACAGACCTACAATATAATGCAACCAATGTCACCCAGGATTTCTGCTGCTACTCCTCTCGGGACATTGAGACCCATTCCTCTCTCCTACAGTGCACTGTGTCGTGTGTTCATTGAACTGAACAGTGTAGTACTGTCTCACAAGTGCAGTATTGTCTGTAGTGACAATGCTGCACATGCAAGACAGGTGTGTCTCATGAGAGATGTTCTTTTCATTGTTTGCTCTTGTGCGGTAGCCAGGTGTTCAGTGCTGCAGTCTTGTGATCCTGAGGTTGCGGGTTTGGGCCCAGGTCGTGTCAGGTAAGGCATCCGGCATAAAACAAATTAAATCTTTCATGCAAGTCTGCTCGCTGCGACGACCTCTGAAGAGGGAACAGCCGAAAGAAACTTACTTACGCTTGCTGCTATGAAGAGTTGTCACCGCATCTCATTTTATGTACAGCATAAACACAATTAAAACACTCTTGTTTAACTTTTGATCGGTCAATAAGACTTAAATATTTTCAATTTCAGTTTCTACAAGGATGTTTGGAATCTTGAATTATTGTTTTGCTCGAGAGTTGCAAGGCACAAACGAGTCACCAATCCTTTCAAAAACTCAAGAACGATCTAAAGCAACTCTCTTCAACTCTCCCGGGAAGTGTCTTATCACAAAAATCACAAATAAAGCGACATCAAAAACTGCCAGTAAAACCCACGAGAAATCAAATGCCAACATCTTCACATTCACCCCCTGCAAAAATCAAACCTAACTCTTTAATGTCTAAAGGCCTTAGGAGTTCATCAAACTGTTTGACCCCCCAACCCAAAATTACTGGAGTATTTTGTAAGACCTCAGGCAACTTCATATCAAAATCACGTGTTCAACTTTTCTAAAAACTCTTGAAAACATTCCAGAAACCCAATTTACTGTTGAGAACCCACACGTGCCCTCCCCAGCCCCTTCCTGGTAGAGCTGCGGTGCTTTACGGATACTCACCACTCCACTTTGAGTTTGATGTAGGCCAACAGCTGCTTTTTGCCTTTGCAGGTTTCACACTGCTTTGTCCCATTCCCATTACAGTTTGAACACCTCGACACACAAACAGACATTAGAAGATGCGCCACATTTTATACGTTCTTAACAAATCCAGCGCAAGTCCTGGTGACAGAATTTAAAGCAACATTTGTGGATTGGAGCGAAGTAACTTCTCTTTCAAACAGCTGCTTCCCTTTTTAGGTTAAAGCAAACACTGTAAAAGTATTGATGACAAATCAGAAAAAACTGCAGTTTCATTACTTTAAAGTTATATTAGACAAAAATACAGTTTTGCATTCTGTAGAGAGTATAAAAGGATTTGTGTCTTCAGTCCAGCTGCAGAGATGATGTAAACAGTAACCAGTGAGAGATCTCTTTAGACTCGCTTATCCTTAATTTTGCTGTATGTATTTTATATTCTTTATGCATTTTATTCCTGTTGATCTTTGTTCTTACTGTAAAGTGTCCTTGGGTGTCATGAAAGGCGCTTTTTAAATAAAATTATTATTATTATATGCATTTTGGGCTTTACTGCCATATTTACTTTACATATTGAGTTGTTAAAATAACACTGGCATCCATTTACTTGAAGTTGCACAAAATTTCTGCAAAGCTATTTCCCCCCCATTCAATACCTTTAAAGGGTTTTGACCAACAACTATAAATTTACAGTCTCTTAAAGAGGAGGGGTTGATTTCACCAACAAAAAAAAGGGTGTCTATATAATGGTTATGTACTTGGAGGTGCTCCATAAGGCCTGAAACAAATTTACCATCCGTCTGATTTATTGAATCCGACTCTTTAACGTTATATTATTTAACAGCAGAACTGCATTACTTGTCTTTTCCTGTTGCGTTGCATCTACTGCAGTTTTCATCGTCCTTCTTCCCGGAGCCGTCGCATCCTGTGCAGGATTTCTACACACAAAAACTTTTTTTTCTTAATTAAACACACTAAATATCAAGGCCTTTTGTTGTTTAAAAATACACCACAGCGACAAATATTACACACCTATAGATATTTTTACTATTATTTTACTGTTTAACTTGTTTTTTTCTTACATATCCACTTCCAGTGCAGTTTTGGCAGGGCTTCTTCCCTTTGCCATGGCAGCCATCGCATTCCTACACAAACACACAAATGTGTATACACAAGTAAAAAATTAAAAATAAAACATTATGGCCTTTAAGAGCCACACAATCTCTCAAAATCCTGGTTATAACTGGACACCTCAGTGCTATAATCATATATCACTTAGTTTAAATTTGACCTTACAGTCAGTTCTTTTAACAATGCAAACTTACAAACAAAACATTTATCGAGTCAATATAAAACTTGTAAATTTTATGATTATAACATCCTGATTGTCCCTGATGGACCATCTGCTGGGTGGCCCTTCCAAAACTTCAGAAATCCTTTATTCAATATTAACTAAACCATAAAACAACTTGTAGATTTGTGGTTCCCAAAGGTTTAAGCTTCTGGCTGAACAGTGTTAGATGTTTGCAACCCAACTACTGCTGGATGAAGGTCTTAAATCTTACTAAACCTCCAATTACACACGAGCACCATGACAACAAAAACAGCCTAAACAACAAAATATATGAATTTACACATTAATGATGACCATTTTTTATTTATAGGAAACGTTATTCAATTCAATTCAATTCAATTCAACAATACTTTATTAATCCCAAAGGGAAATTATTTTGTTGTTATAACTCGTTATCCTCATTTCATTAAGAGATGTTATAGATGCTGAAGGCTGTAGACAGGAAGGATCTCTTGTAAAGGTCCATCTCACAGTGGATCCTAAGAAACTGGCTGCAGATGCCGTCCGATCCGTCCATCCAGACTCGGCTGGCCTCTCGGTTCCCCTGGACTGTAGGACCGCCTGAATGCTGGGCTGAACTCCTCCCAGAGCGATGGCCACTCCTCCCAGCAGTCTGCTGAGCTCCTCGTCGCTGTGGACGGTCAACTGTAGGTGCCGAGAGACGATCCTGTCCTTCTGCTGTTGTGAGCCGTGTTTCCTGCTAGTTCCAGGATCTCAGTGGTCAGGCACTCGAGCACAGCTGGCAGGTAGATGAGAATGCGTCCACAGAACATCCTTTTCAACTCATTTGAGAGTTGGGGCCATAGTTGAGATATTATTTGAGCTTTTGAGATGTTAATCAGCTGCTGTTGTTGTAGAAAACTGCCTTGTTGCCATGGTTACGCATCATAACAAATGTCCAAAACCAAAAAATGTTTCAGTAAAAATCTTTCCGGCTGCACAGCATCTGATACCAGAGGAAACAATCATCCAAAAAATGGGATTTACATCCAGAAAACCAGGAATTAAAGTTTCCAAAAGCAAAATCTCAGAATGAAAGCAACAGAGCTGCTCCAACATGCAGCCACCTTGAGCGGCGCAATTCAATATAATATAAATTCAATATAAATTCAATTTTCAATATACCAAAACAATGCTAAAATGAATCACGTTAAAATGAATTTGCTTTCTAGAGATCATCTCGAGACCACCGACTTGGCATTTTATGACCTATAACGTGGTCTGCTTCGGTCAACTCCTTCAGAGCGTGTAAAGAGTTCACAGAACCCTCTGGAAACAGAACTTAATATAGACCCCAATAACATCTGCAAAGACTTCAATAAAGTGTCTTTTGGTTCCCTGACACATCTCAAAGGATCGAAATGAGCCTTCAACAGTTCCTGCAACAACGTCAAGAAGAACATTTCATACATTGAAAATGTAATTAGAAAACTGTCCGAGCCTCTAATTAAATTTAGTCCCGTGTTAATATTTGGAAAGAGAACTGTTGTAACTCCAACGATAAGATCACGTAAGACTTCCAGAGGATGACTGAAAGGGTGGAGGTTACCTGGCTCATTGAAGCCCACGTAGAGGACGACTTGACATCCGGTGGGGGCACACAACTTATTTTGAAATCACATAGAAGCTCCTTTGTGGCCTTCATAACCATGCATGACCAAAACAAAACCTAAATAAATAAATAAACCAAAGCCCTTCAAATCAACAGAAAACAGTGACCGGTAACCTTCTGACCTTGAAACTACTGGATAAGAACATTTCTTATGGTTTAAAAATAATTAGAGCCACACCAGAAGAAAAGGTAGCATCAAAAAACTAAAGCTGGAGAACAGTTGCAACAGATCCCTCACAAAAAAAAAACAAAAAAAAAAAACTTCATTGTCATGTGGCCTGATGAGGGTTTGCATCTGCTGGTCAGGTTAAATTACTACCCATGATGCATTGCTTCAAAACCAGGACACTCCCGGTTAAGTCAGTGCTGTGCATAAGTCAAAGACACCAAAGTCAGTGTCATCAAAAAATAACCACCTTTTTAAAATATATATAAAAAAATCACCTTAATGGAGGCGGTGAAGGGTACACGGACCTCCTCAGAGTGGTTAGTGAAGAGGTTGGGGGTCTTGACCTGCACCTCCCAGGGTCGCGGGGCGGGCTGGCTGTAGAAGTCGGCTGTCTCACCTTGCGAGGACAGAAACCACAGTAAACCGTCACTCAAAACCTCCTACGGTGAACTCTACATGTCTCACTGTAAACCATGTTGGAAAAAGAGGAACTGAAGAAAACCCAACAAAGTTCAGTCCGGTCATCTGGATGGTTTCTTTTTTCTTTTGTTTTTGTTGAGACGTTTCGTCCTTCATCAGTCCCACAATCAGCACACTCACACAGTGGACCAACCAGTTTGCTGGTGACAAGGACCACTGAGCATGAACTTTGATGTTTTGAACCACTTTGGCCATGGCTGCCTCAGAGGAGTCGAAGGGGGAGAGGGCGGACTCCAGAAACCATCTTATCACCAGCAAACTGACTGGTCCACTATGGGAGTGTGCTGCTTGTTCGACTAATTTAGTTCGTGGTTCCACGGACTGATGAAGTCCTTTGGATCATGCAAAACATCTCAACAAAAAACAAAAAAAAAAGAAACCGTCCAGATGACCTGACTGAACTTTGTTGGATTTTTTATCTGAATTATTGAGCACAAACGTTGAAATTAAAGAAAACATCTCAGAAAGCGTCAGCTTCTAGTTGGTTGAAGAAGTGTATTTCTGCTAAGTCAAGTTTCTTCTTCAGATATACAATTTTACTATACGTTAGCTAAGAACTACTGTACACAGATCTCTGCAAACGCTCGCTTACAAAAATGTTTTTGGCCAAAAATTCTAAAGCCAAAGAATGTAGGGATTTGCAAATACTAACACAAATCAGATTCATCACTGGAAAGTTTGTGCAGGTTTGTCAATAAAACAACAACAAAAAAAAGGTGTTTCCTAAAATCTGCAGGGTTGTAGATTCAAAAATATGCTTCTCGTGTTGTTTTTGTTTTTAGATGTGTTGAATCCGAGTCAGAGAAACTTTTAACATCGTGATGAGACCTGAAAACACGAGAATTCGTCACAAACTGCTCAGCCACCTCGTCACCACGTTCATGTGAAAACTCCTCGTTCAAGATGAAATCCAAATGATGGTCTTTTTAACCTCACAGCAGAAAAATAAGAATATTTTCAGGGTTTTAGAACAAAAAATGAATAAAAATAAATTACCTTCGTAAGGTTTTTGGGTCATTTCAGTCGACCTGGACTCAATGAACGTCTCCAGACGGTACTGTGGAACAGAAAACACGACATCCTGTCTGAACACGGTGAACAAATAACATTTTGGCTGACTGTGAAAGAGGAAAACTGATTTTATACTTTCAAAAAAAAAAAAAAAACAACTGGTATTACTGGATAGAGACAGACTGAACTGATTCGTGACTTGTTTAGACATGGTGTTTTGTCACGTAGTCCCTCGTTTATCGCGGGGGATCCGTACACTGAAGCGATAAGAAAAAAAACGCAAAGTAGGAACAGTAGTACAAGTACCGTATTTTCCAACGTCGCACCGCACTGCCCTATAAGTCGCATCAGTCCAAATAGGTCTAATAAAGTGGAAAAATCCATAAATATGTTGCTTCGCTGTGTACATTGCATCTATTATGCGTCACCACTGACTACCTCTAAATGTGGGCTGGTGTTGCACCAAAAATAGATCGACTGCCAAATGGCGGATGTGTGCACGGGAGGACTTAAGAATTGAACAAGATTAACACTTAAACAATTATTTGTTTGCTCGACATTATAGTAAAGGTGTGTCTCAGTTGAACTTTTACTTAATAAATGCACTTCAATGGTCAAATCAGCTGCGTTTCACCGGGGCAGCGAAATGAAGCTGATTTGACGGTTGCTCCAAGCGAGCAGAACGAAGGTGGCTGTATGGCAAGCCGAATGCTTCATTAATAGCCACTTTTTCCTATTACACAATGGCATGCCATACTACTCGAGTGCCATCTAGTGGCTGAAAATGGCGCTGTTCAATATTTTCAGTCAGAATGAAAACGGTTTTATCTCAGCCAAAAATTGGTTTATAAATATGGGAAAGAATCCATAAATAAGTCGCTTCAGCGTATAAGTTGCAGGGCATTTAAATTATGCAAAAAACCTGCGACCTATAGGCCGAAAAATCCAGACGTAAGTAGTAGTTTATTTCAGTATTTATATACAGGTATATAAAGGTGTTTTAAAACCTTACCACACTCTTGCAATATTCTAAACATTGTTTCTAAACTCTTAATGCTCTAAAAGAGCACAGAATGTCATGATTTCAGCTCCCTGCCAGCGCTCTTGGCCACGCCCACTTCTCCGCTGCAGAGCGGAGACGGGACACACAGGTGCAGCAGGTGCCAAGTAATTTTAAATAATTCAGTTTAAATAAAAATGGCATGCCGATCGTGCGGCTCATCCATCAATCAGCCATTTGTGTGTCATGCCCCATCTTATTTTGGAAAACCGCGATAGAGCGAGTCCTCGATAAACGAACCGTGAAGTAGCGAGGGACTACTGTAACACGATTATAACTTTCTAGCAAAAGAGACTCTTCACACCGTCTGCTACTTTTATGTACTTTTCATTTTATGTAGTTGTTAAAAAGGAATAATTTTGACATCTAAAATTCTTCATCTCAGAGTTTCTCGTCTTTGCAGCTAATTTTCCATCGAGTTCATAAAAAATGAACAATCTTAAGATTTCCAAGTGATTTGCACGGATACAAAACAGATTTGGGCATAAAAACAACTTTGTCTTTGATAAAAAGTGAGAACTGACACACATTACTGCGGCTGGACTTGTTGTCAGTCTGTAAAGACAACTTACGTGCTGAGTCAGCATTCACAACCTAGTTTTCCTGTTTAACGTTTCTTCCTTACATTTTGTGCAGTCAAAATTATTTCTGCACGCCGTGTGCTTTTTTTAAGTACCATAAATTAAAACGTTCAGCTCAGCTGGAAATAGTATGGTTTCAATGTTCGCAACTGCTATACTTTTTGAAGTTTTCAACTTTATTTACAAAAACGTTTCCCTTAAAAGTGCATTGGGATCTAAAAACATTCTGATTGAAACCCACTTCATCATACATTTTTGACTTTTGTCTTTTTTATATATCTTTTAGCTCTTACAAAGCGTCTAGCTAATTTGAGCTTTTCTTTAAAGTTTAATTAACTCCAGCTTTTAGCTACAGTTTAGCTAATTTTAGCTATGCTTTCGTCTCTTCTTTTATATTTTTACTGATAAAACTGCACAGAATCAATATTTGATTTACATTAAATCTTAGCTTTTTTTGCTTCGTACTTTGCTATAATAATAAAAAAAAACCATCACAAGCCGTTTCCCTCACTTATTAAGATGGTGCTGCTCTCTAGTGTCCTGCTAATTCATTGCTTATATTTAATGATCAAGACAGCAGCAATAAGCTAACTGCTGCTCATTCACAAAACCTTCTTTTTGTAGTTTAGAATAATTTGTTGCACAAAGACAACAGGTTATATTTGTATGAACGAGCAATAATCCCAGAATAAAACCAAACAAACAGGACAGAAAGTCTCCCACTCTGCAGACGACAGCTGGGGATTATTTGTTTGCATGATTTGTACTCAACACCAACAACAGCAACGCTACACCGTAAAACCAGATCACCCTGAAAGCGTTGAAAGGCTCCATGTTTGTGATGACGCCTTTTTCTGCCGGATCCGAACCGTAGCAGCAATGAGATGATGCATAGCTCTTGAACGCATCTCGAGCAACCTCCTCTGACAGAGCAGGGATGCTAAACACACAGAAGCACGACAGATGTGAACAAAAAAAACATTTGCAGCCACAGTAACCAGTTGAGCGGTGCAGCCTCTTACTTCCAGTTGTCAGGTGGGGGTCCAGGTTGGGGTGGAGCGACAGGCTCTGAAGGCATGGGGGGAGGCAGGTAACCTGAAACGAGGGTGGTAAATTTGTAATTAGCTGCAAAACGACATTTTCTTTGACGAGAGCTGAACTGTTCTTACCTGCTCCCATTCCCTCATAGCCGGGCATGTTGCCGAACATGTTGCCTGCTGGGGCGTTCAGGGGAGGATACACAGCTGGAGCAAAACAAACACTCAGTTCAGACGGCAGCTATTTATGGATTTACAAAGAGCTGAACTTTCCTGACTTTGCTGCTTGGTTTGGGCCTAAATCTGCAGAGATCAAAGCGGTGTGATTTTAATCATATGTCTTCTAAAATTTGTTCTTGTCAAAAGACGGATACGTTGGGTTTCTTATCTATAGTCGTATAAGCAGACGTGTGGCTCAGCTTAAAACCTGCAAACGGCGAAGAATATTACGCAACAAGTCAACAACATCGATACTGCGACAGCAGCCTTGTCATTTTCTGAATCAAATAGTTTAACGGCACGGTGGATCAGTTGGTAGAGCTGCCGCCTCTCGGCGAGCAGATCGCCGACTCAAATCCCAGCTGGAGGCCTTTATGGGTGGAGTTTGAAGGCTGATTGGTAACTCTAAATTGTCCCTAGGTGAGAGAGTGAATGGCTGTTTGTCTCTGTGTCCCTGTGAGGGACTGGAGACCTGTCCAGGGTGTCCCCCGCCTCTCGCACAGTGACTGCTGGACATGGAAACCAGTGACCCCAGAAAGGAGGAAGCGGGTAAAGATAATGGATGGAAATAGTTTAAAGGCAGTAAAGAGACAAATCATTTCCAAATAACTTTTGAATTTCAGAATATTTGCTGCTTATAGATTTTGATCACCTCATCATCATATCAAGGATGTAACTGCTGTTTGTTTTTGTTTAGATTTTTTGCAGCTACTTCAGTAAACAATGTGCTGTCAGTGGTTGTGTTTAAACTGAACCGTGCTGTAACTTAAAAAAAAAAAACTTTTATACTTTTCAAATCAATAATTTTATTAACAAATGGTTTCCCTAGTGAAATACTTTGAGATATCTTCAATTACTTAAAAAAATATATTATTTTTAATATCTGCTACATCATACTTGCTCTACGTTTGTCACCATAGAATATTATTTTTACCTTTTAGCTACTGTTAGATATTAGCTAGCTTTTGCTGCTTTTAGCTAATGTTCCACTACTTTAGGCTTTTAGTCAGCCTTCTGCTACTTTTAGTTATTAACTATCCTTCT